TGGGGATTTTGGGGATGGGGATTTTGGGGCTCAGGATTTTGGGATGGGGATTTCAGGCTGGGGAAGGGGATTTTAGAATAGGAAGGGGATTTTGCCTGAGGAAGAGGATTTGGGGTCGGGTTTGAGGATTTAGGGCCAGGTTTGAGGATTTGGGGTCAGGTTTGGGTCTCTGGGGCCGGGTTTGGGTCTCTGGGGTCAGTTTTGGGGATTTGGGGTCAGTTTTGGGGCTCTGGGGCCGGGTTTGGGGGTGTGGGGCTGGGTTTGGGGTGGCTCACAGTGGACATCCACCAGGGTGCTGACGTTGGTGCTGCCGATGTCGTTGTGCACCTCGCAGGACACGGGCTCGGTGAAGAAGGTGTAATCCACCTGCGTGTCGTACCTGTTCTCCTTGGCCTCCTCGATGATCACCCCCCCTTTGGCCCACCTGGGGACATTCGGGGACACCGTGGGACCCCAATCCCTGATCCGAAATCCCAATCCCAATTCCCGATCCTAAATCCTGATCCCGATCCCGAATCCCAATCCCGATCCCAAATCCTGATCCCGATCCCGAATCCCAATCCCGATCAGAAATCCCAACCACTTCCTCCCTTTGGCCCACCTGGGGACAGCCGGGGACACCGTGGGACCCCCATCCCTGATCCTAAATCCTGATCCCAATTCCCGATCCCGATCCTAAATAATGATCCCAATCAGAAATCCCAATCCTGATCCCGAATCCCAATCCCGATCAGAAATCCCAATCCCGCTCCTAATTCCCAACCACTTCCTCCCTTTGGCCCACCTGGGGACATTCGGGGACACCGTGGGACCCCAATCCCTGATCCTAAATCCTGATCCCCATCCCGAATCCCAATCCTAAATCCTGATCCCCATCCCGAATCCCAATCCCGATCCCGAATCCCAATCCCAATCCCGAATCCCAATCCCGCTCCTAATTCCCAAACACTTCCTCCCTTTGGCCCACCTGGGGACATTCGGGGACACCGTGGGACCCCAATCCCTGATCCGAAATCCCAATCCCAATTCCCGATCCTAAATCCTGATCCCGATCCCGAATCCCAATCCCGATCCCGAATCCCAATCCCGATCAGAAATCCCAATCACTTCCTCCCTTTGGCCCACCTGGGGACATTCGGGGACACCGTGGGACCCCAATCCCTGATCCTAAATCCTGATCCCCATCCCGAATCCCAATCCTAAATCCTGATCCCCATCCCGAATCCCAATCCCGATCCCGAATCCCAATCCCAATCCCGAATCCCAATCCCGCTCCTAATTCCCAAACACTTCCTCCCTTTGGCCCACCTGGGGACATTCGGGGACACCGTGGGACCCCAATCCCTGATCCTAAATCCTGATCCCAATGAAATCCCAATCCCAATTCCCGATCCTAAATCCTGATCCCGATCCCGAATCCCAATCCCGATCAGAAATCCCAAACACTTCCTCCCTTTGGCCCACCTGGGGACATTCGGGGACACCGTGGGACCCCAATCCCTGATCCTAAATCCTGATCCCCATCCCGAATCCCGATCCCAAATCCCGATCCCAATTCTCAATCACTCCCCAATCTGAATCCCAGCCCCAATCCCAGCCCCAATCCCGAGTCCCAATCCCAATCCCGGGGATTTTGGGAAGGGGAGGGGACACAGAGCTAAGCTGGGGACATTTGGTGGCCCCAACTGACCCCAATCCCATTTTCCAATCCCAAACCCAATCCCAATTCCAATCTGAGTCCGAATCCCAGTCCCAATCCCAATCCCAGGGGATTTTGGGAACAGGGAGGTTCAGGGGTCTCGTTTGACCCCAATCCCGGGGATTTTGGGGACAGGGAGGTTCAGGGATCCCGTTTGACCCCAAACCCGGGGATTTTGGGGACAGGGACATTCAGGGATCCCGTTTGACCCCAATCCCGGGGATTTTGGGGATTTTGGGAACAGGGAGGTTCAGGGATCCCGTTTGACCCCAATCCCGGGGATTTTGGGACCAGGGAGGTTCAGGGATCCCGTTTGACCCCAATCCCGGGGATTTCGGGGATTTTGGGAAAAAGGGAGGTTCAGGGGTCCCGTTTGACCCCAATCCCGGGGGATTTTGGGGACAGGGAGGTTCAGGGATCCCGTTTGGATTTTGGGACCAGGGAGGTTCAGGGGTCCCGTTTGACCCCAAACCCGGGGATTTCGGGGCCCACCTGTATCCCTTGATCTCGGGGTTGGCCGTGGCCATGCAGGTGAACACGACCCT